TGAATTTCAAGTTCCACTAGCTGAGGAGGTTCCCACAAAGGAAGCCCCTGTTGAAGTTCAATCTCGATCAATTGAGGAGCCTCCAGTAGGAGAGGCCCCTATTGACAAACATCCTTCACCAGCTGATGTAGCTCTTACTGAAGACTTGCCTTTACAAGAGAACCCTTCTGAAGTTCTGCCTACACCACCTGAACAAACTCCTGCAGATGAAGATGTGGCAAACAATGTGTCTACTGAATTGCAATCATCACAGTTAGCTGGCAACCCAACGGTAAAATCGGGGTCAGTTGTTTTGGAAGGTGATAAAAATTTTAACAAGGATTTAGAGACAGATCCTGTTCCTGAAAATTTGTCTAGTACCAATGAAGACTATATTTCCACTATTAATATAGAGGGTGTCATTCGTATACAAAAGAGCTCCTCCTAAGCTGTCATCAGGTCCAAAATTAGTTAACAATCAGCTATTAAGTGGTTCTGGAATTACATATTTTAGAAAAGGGTAGGAATCTTGAAGTAGTTTTGTGAATAGAGTAAATGAGAGACAATCCATGACTTGCAGAGAAGGTTGGAAAATGAACAATAAAAACTATAGAAGTTTAAAATTACTTGTGTTATTTTTATTCAAATCCAAAGTGTGTAAAGTATCTACTTTGAAATGATGTAAATTTATGACTGAATCCAGTACTTAAAATCTTTTCTACTGTAAACCCTGTTGACTTGGCAATCATTTTATTTTTTCTCTGACTTCCCTTTATAAGTACATTTATACTTATAAGGAAATAACATCTAGTGGAAATGTTACTTTCTTTTCTGCAGATCTGTCATCACTTTAAATTTCTTGAGCTTTAGCTACATCTAAAGTAATAGTATTCTATCTCTTTCCTTATTGTAATTCATCATATATCTTACTTTTTTTCTACTCAGTTCCTTCTGAGACAAGCATTGTTTTCCTGGATTCAGTCTAAGTGCTTTTCCCTATCTTGCATATTTTAAATTTCAATGTTTGGATAGAATTATGATTTTTTTCACAAAAATCTTCATTTAATTGAAATGCAAATGACCATAGATAAGTATTTAAAGATAAGTATGTGAATACAAAGAAAATTTGCTTAGATAGTCTGAGGGTATTTTTGTTCAGTCTTATTAAAAAGGTTTTGAAATTTTTTTCCATGTATGTACCCTTGTGAGCACAAGGCATGGTTAAAAAAAAAAAAAAGGGATCTTGATGCTAGGACCTACCACAGCTTCAGCTAGTCCCATATCATGAGCAATTACGTACTCAGCACTCATGAAATTTCTGGATGTGAACTTGGAACTTTCCCACATGGTTTAACCTCACAAAACATCACAGTACACTGCTATTCCACCGAGTCCCCAGTTTGGTTTTAATTTCATTTCAGCTGAGAATGTAATGAATACTTTGGAAGCTTGGCTTATGGTTTTTCACTCTGAACTTGTGACAAAGAGAAAATTAGAATAAAATTGAATTACTATTGTATAAACTATTGAAGGTTTTAAAGAGCATCAAAACTAAATGGTACTTGGGAACCAGCAGTTAGCGTAATGGCTATGTCGCTGGATTCCCACGTAGTCGACCGCGGTTCGTGTCCCGGACCCGGTGGCTTAAAACTCACGCCGGGCGCGTGTGCGTGCGTGCCCAAGATCCCGAGAGGAGAATGGAGGAGAAGGGATTGCGGTGTGACCATCCCCCCTGGGGGGTGATTTCTCGCTTTCTGTCTCTTCTGGCGAGCGCACGCGCCCTACAGTGAAAATCTCTCAAAAAAAAAAAAAAAAAAAAAACTAAATAGTACTTTAAGTAATCTAAGATGTCTGTTATTAAAGGACATGTAGTTGCTATGGTTATGACAACTTTTGGGAAAATATTTTGTCTAGTTATATATCAATTATAATGTGCTGAAATATTGAGATGATTCTCTTAATTTTTTTCTCATTTGGTCAGTGTATTTTTCTGTGTAATGAAAACTGTATTTATGACTACAACCTTGTTAAACTTTGATGCTTTATGTTGAGTTTTTGTCACATTCCACCCCCCCAAAGGCCATGTGTGCTCACCAGAGAGACAGAAAGCGTGAGAAGGAGAAAGCATCCCCTACAAGGAGGCATGGTCCCACCACAATCCCTCCTCCATTCCTTCATTCTGTTGAGAGTTTAGGCACACATACACAAGGCCTGGTGTATTTTCAAGCTGCCAGGGCTGGGATTTGAACTGCTGTCAGCCATGTGGGAAGACTGTTTTTCTATTTTAGATTTGCTATTATGGCTTTTCTTTTTTTTAAATTCGGAAGTCATATAAGAACTCAGAACTACGTTATAAAGACATGTTTAATAAAGATGGATTTTTATCAACTGGCAATAATAGAGAAATTTCAACACTTGAAAGTTGAATGTTAGCTGGAGCTGAGGTTGAATTTATGACATGCTCTAAATGCATGCAAATAGTACATAACAAGTAAACAAGTATATTTGGGAGATTCTAGAGGCCTAATTTATAAAAAGAAACTATAACTAAGTCACAGCATAGGTAGCTGTGAAAATTTAGAGCAAGAAATATTGACTGGAAGTATTTAGGAAACAGAAAAAAAATCTCCTAAACAATAAACATAGGGCAATAAAGAAAAAATTTGATTTTTAAAATTGATATTGGCAAAGATTCAGGGTATATATGAACAATAGTCTCTACTAAATATAAGAACGACACCAGGCACTCATGAGGCAACAATGAAAAAGTTGTTTTTGAACATATGAGATGTTCTAAAAAACATCTTTACAGATGTATAACCTACATAGACTAAATTGCATTTACATAAGTTGTATGATTTTATAAATTTGGCATACCTATGTATCTATGAAACCATCACCATAATTAAGATAGTGACTATGGCCATAACTCGGAGGTTCCCGTCATGACTATTTCTAACTTCTCTTTCTCTGTGCCCACACCTCTTCTCTCTCTCACACACATACAATAGATACATAGCCCCCAGGCAATTGCTGATTTACCACTATGGTTTTCCATGACCACAGATTACTTTGCATTTTTCTAGACTCTTATGCAGACTTTTCTAGACTCCTAAATGGAACCTTATAATTCATGTTACCTTAAAACTCACGCCGGGCGCGTGTGCGTGCGTGCCCAAGATCCCGAGAGGAGAATGGAGGAGAAGGGATTGCGGCGTGACCATCCCCCCCGGGGGGGGATTTCTCGCTTTCTGTCTCTATGTCTCTCTCTGTCTGTCTGGCGAGTGCACGCACCCTATAGTGAAAAATCTCTCAAAAAAAAAAAAAAAAAAAAAACTAAATAGTACTTTAAGTACTCTAAGATGTCTGTTATTAAAGGACATGTAGTTGCTATGGTTATGACAACTTTTGGGAAAATATTTTGTCTAGTTATATATCAATTATAATGTGCTGAAATATTGAGATGATTCTCTTAATTTTTTTCTCATTTGGTCAGTGTATTTTTCTGTGTAATGAAAACTGTATTTATGACTACAACCTTGTTAAACTTTGATGCTTTATGTTGAGTTTTTGTCACATTCCACCCCCCCAAAGGCCATGTGTGCTCACCAGAGAGACAGAAAGCGTGAGAAGGAGAAAGCATCCCCTACAAGGAGGCATGGTCCCACCACAATCCCTCCTCCATTCCTTCATTCTGTTGAGAGTTTAGGCACACATACACAAGGCCTGGTGTATTTTCAAGCTGCCAGGGCTGGGATTTGAACTGCTGTCAGCCATGTGGGAAGACTGTTTTTCTATTTTAGATTTGCTATTATGGCTTTTCTTTTTTTTAAATTCGGAAGTCATATAAGAACTCAGAACTACGTTATAAAGACATGTTTAATAAAGATGGATTTTTATCAACTGGCAATAATAGAGAAATTTCAACACTTGAAAGTTGAATGTTAGCTGGAGCTGAGGTTGAATTTATGACATGCTCTAAATGCATGCAAATAGTACATAACAAGTAAACAAGTATATTTGGGAGATTCTAGAGGCCTAATTTATAAAAAGAAACTATAACTAAGTCACAGCATAGGTAGCTGTGAAAATTTAGAGCAAGAAATATTGACTGGAAGTATTTAGGAAACAGAAAAAAAATCTCCTAAACAATAAACATAGGGCAATAAAGAAAAAATTTGATTTTTAAAATTGATATTGGCAAAGATTCAGGGTATATATGAACAATAGTCTCTACTAAATATAAGAACGACACCAGGCACTCATGAGGCAACAATGAAAAAGTTGTTTTTGAACATATGAGATGTTCTAAAAAACATCTTTACAGATGTATAACCTACATAGACTAAATTGCATTTACATAAGTTGTATGATTTTATAAATTTGGCATACCTATGTATCTATGAAACCATCACCATAATTAAGATAGTGACTATGGCCATAACTCGGAGGTTCCCGTCATGACTATTTCTAACTTCTCTTTCTCTGTGCCCACACCTCTTCTCTCTCTCACACACATACAATAGATACATAGCCCCCAGGCAATTGCTGATTTACCACTATGGTTTTCCATGACCACAGATTACTTTGCATTTTTCTAGACTCTTATGCAGACTTTTCTAGACTCCTAAATGGAACCTTATAATTCATGTTACTTTTTATTTTAGTTTTTGCTTTGAATTCTCTAAGTTAGCATGATTATTTTGACACTTATTCATGTTATATGTAGTAGTAGTATTTTGCTTTTTTTAATTGCCAAGTTGTATTTTATGATATGAATGTTGCAAGTTTTATGTTCAGTCATTTGTTCGACCTTTGAATTGTTTCCAGTTTTTGGCTGTCACAAATAAAGCTGCTATCAGCATTTGTATGTGAGTCTTTGTATGAACATATGCTTTTATTTCTCTGGAAAAAGTACCTAGGAATAGAATGGATAGGTTGTATGAGGGGCGTATGTTTAACTTTTACAAAAACTGCCAAACTATCTTCCTGAGTGATATACCATTTTACGTTCTGTCTGGCAGCTGGTAGAGATGAAGATATTCCACACTTTTGTCACTTGGTATGGCCAGTCTTTCATTTTAATCATTCTAATGGGAGAAGAGTGATATCATCTTATAATTTTAATGTCTTTTCCCCTAATAACTGATGATTGGGGATATATTTAATTATGCTTATCTGCCAGCAGCATATATTCTTGGTGAAGTACATGCTTTTTAGTTTTATTTTTTTGGTCATATTTTAGAAACTTTTTCCAAACAGAAAATTACTAATATTTCCTCATATGTTTTCTGCTATAAATTGCATTGTTATGTATTTTATACTTAGGTATAAGATTCGTTTCCAGTAAATTTTTGTGTGGTGTGAAGAAAGGTATAAGGTTATTTTTTTTTTCCTTAGACACATGTGTAACCTCTGCCTCAGCATTATTTGTTCAATAATTATCTTGTCTTAATTGAACTGCCATCAAGCCTTTGTTGAAAATTGACCATATATGTAGGAATATATATATTTTTTACCCTCTATTTTTTTCAATTGACCTCTATGTCTGTCATTATATAAACTTGATATTGTTTCAATAATAATAACTTTA